TAGGCGGCAAGGGCCAACCTTGAATGGAAACAGGTCCTGTCCCTGCAACCACACTAGGGTATAGTGCCCGGGCAGCACTAATAGAGTAATTAGACAATTTTAGTATAGCGTTGCTGGGTCTTACGTACGCAATATGCAATAGTATAGCGTACGCTAAAAATGACCTGCTCGGACCGAATTTAGTTGTGCGTTACGTTTTCGAGTGAACACCGCGCATGATCTTGCTTAAATTTGCTAGAGCCGTAGAATTCCGCGTGCTTATAGCGCAACCATGCTCCTGGAAAGAAATATTGAAAAAGAAGAAGTGTCCAATCATTTTATTTCAGATTAAACCAAGCCACAGCTGCCTCATCAAGCGCGCTTTTCTGCGGGGTACAGAGGCTACGAGTACCAGTGCGTAGCCAAATTCGATCACGAAGCCTCCGTCAGTCGTCCCGTGGAAACGGCACCTTTTATCAATGCTATCGCGGAATGAAATTCATGACCCTGATGTCCAGTGCATAGCGAAAACTTCAGCGATTTCTTTTAGAGTGGTTAGTCCGTCGGCGATGAACTGTGGGAATAGGCTTAGCGTTGAGCAGATCGCAGCGTCGACGCACACTGCGAGCGGCGAATATTTCCACTGTGCACTCCTTCAGCTGCAGGGCGATCTGATTCGACCGCGGTAGGTCCCAGGAAGAACCGCCGAGCTGAACACCACGCAATTTCACTTAACACAGAACTTCGAAAACACTACGTCGCCCTTGCTGCACCAGTCGAGGCAACCGCCATCTTGAAACTGGCGCTCTCGTTGGGTCCGAGATTTCTCGAGAGCGTCCCGCAAGGCCCGCTAGCCAGCAACGCGAAATCCCCAGCATTGCGTGCGTACGCGATGCGCTATCCCTTCTATTGCGTTCTGCGCATCCGCACTCACGACTCGCAATATCCTTGCGTACGCAAAGCCATAGCGTACGGTCCACTAAAACTGTCTATAGTGTCAGCCAAGCCCATCTTGCTATGGCACATTACCTACCCTCTTGTTGGGCTCCGTGGTGGGCGGCGCACCCGGGCACTGAATCTTTCTCCTATTTATATGGGTTCTCAAGCAAAAAAACGTTTTGATCGGGCCCCGAAAAGGGTCCGCACCGAAGCACTACACATAGAAAAACCAACGTACATATTTTCAAAGTTCCCCAAGTTTGTTGTCATGCACTCTGAGGATGAAAAACCGCTTGGCAATTTGTCCCCTTTCCTCATCTCAAAAGTTCTCGAAGGAGTGATTGGGAAGAACTACATTACAAAAAAGATGGCATCTGGTGATCTCCTAGTGGAGATTTACAGTAAGCAACAAAGTGATTCACTATTAGCACTAAATTCTGCGTGACTGATTACAAGGTCACTGTCACACCTCATAGAACACTTAATACAATTCAAGGGGTGATCTCAGAAGACGACCTGCTCGAAAGTACAGAAACCGAAGTATTTGAGGGCCTTTCTACACAGGGAGTAATTGCTGCTCGGCGTATTACCCTTCGCCGCGATGGTGTTGAACGCAAGACCAAACACATCATCCTAACATTTGAGTCAACCACACTTCCTGAAGTTGTGAAGGAAGGATGTCTCCAGTGCCGCGTCTGCCCCTATGTGCCAAACCCTCAGCGGTGTTTTAAGTTCCAGCAGTTTGGCCATGGGTCACGGAACTGCCGAGGAAGTGACATGCACTTGTGCCAAGTGTTCTAGCAAGGAGCACGTCGCTGATTTGTGCGAGAATGTGCCCCACTGTGCTAACTGTAGCGGTAAGCACCCAGCGTACTCCCGACCTTGCCCATTATGGAAACAAGAAAAAGAAATCCTCACCTTGAAGGTTACCGAAAATATTTCATACGCTGATGCAAAAAAGCGCCTCGTTTTTGTTTCCGAAGGTTCTTATGCCGAGGCCGTACGCAGGGGACCGGTACGGCCTATGCTTTCGACTGGAACGCAGACGTCTACGGACGATCTGCGCCTCCCGTCGAGGTCTCCTTCGCCCTCGGGAGCGTTGCCAATGGCAACGCGCCCGAATCGTAGGGTGGATGCTGCCTCCTCAGCATCCACCTCAGGGCAGGGGCTGACACCCCCTGCTCCGCCTGCCACTTTGACCCAGATGGGCCGAGGGATACCCCCTCGCACCTCTGCTTTCCAGAGGAAGCCCGGGAACGGCCGAAGCAGTCGACCTCCAAGGGTCAGCTGCCGGCGGCAACCGACGAGCCCTTGGATGAAACTGGGCCCGGGTCCGAGGAGGATGCCCCCCTTCAGGATCAGAGTCCTCTCTTTCTGTCGCCAGTGAGCTTACTTAGAGGCAGAAAGACCCTCCAAAAAAATAGAGCACGCCACGTGTTAAGATAGATTTTAAACCTTAAAACTTCTCTTTTAAATCGATTTCCGTATATATACATCTTTCCTCTCCAGATGGCAAAGTATAGTATCATGCAATGGAATTGTCGCGGCCGTTTTTTTAATATTGATGACATAAATTTCTTTCTTGATGAGCTTCGACCTGTGGCCATATGCCTGCAGGAGACTCATCTTAGGGACACGCATGCCAAAGTTTTACGCCGCCATCAAGTTTTTAGAAAGGACCGTGCATCGTCTAGCAACTCGTCTGGTGGAATGGCTGTTGTTGTCCAGAGCGGTCTAGCCTGTGCTCCAGTTTTTCTCACAACCTCGCTGGAGGTAGTGGCAGTCCGTGTTTTTCTTGACCTACCACCAAATATTTCTACCTCCTACCACCAAATATTTCACTGCATCTACAGGACCTTCAAGGACTCGTTAGCCAGCTTCCCCAACCTTTTTTAATTTTAGGAGATTTTAATGCGCACCACCCCATGTGGCGCAGTTCCCGCCAGGACTCCCGTGGTGGGGTCATTGAACGATATTTGTTATCATCTGGCCTTTGCCTTTTAAATGGAAGTGATCCATTTTTCTTAGTGCATCTCATAATACTTTCACCTCCATAGATTTGTCTCTTTCATCACGATCCTTACTTCCATGCTTTTCATGGAAGGTTTTAGACAATCCCTTTGGAAGTGACCATTTTCCTGTGAATTTAAAAAGTATGGCATCACTCGCTTCTCTTCGAACCAGCATCCCCAGGTGGAAGTTGGATGAGGCGGACTGGGCCCTTTTTGCGTTGGAAGCGGTACTGGACTCTACCGAGTTTTTGTCTATGTCGCCTGAGAATGCAACTTTGTACATTACTGACTGAATCATAAATGCAGCATCTATTTCTATGCCACAAACATCGGGGAATCTTCCGAAGCGGTGCAAGCTTTGGTGGACCAAGGAGTGTACTGCCACACGTAGGTCTCAGAACAAGGTCTGGGGCACTTTTTGTCGCTACCCAAGTACTAGGAACAATATTGAATTTTAAAAAAAAGTAAAGCAAAGGCTCGTTGGACAAAAAGGCAAGCCAAGAGGAGTTGGTGGATGAAGTATGTTTCCAAAGTGAACAGTTTTGTTACTTCAAATAGGTGTGGGACCGAGTGAGAAAAATTCGGGACAATCATCTTTCTTTTAGGATACTTCTTTTACCCTCAGCTGTGCCAAGATTAAAGGGCCAGGTAAATTGTCTTGCAAATTATTTTCAAGAAGTTTCTAGTTCATCCAGTTACACTGCCAAATTTCAGAAATTCAGTGCTATAGCGGAAAAGTAGCCAGTTGGTATGTCTCGATTAGATGCTCTAGAATATAACCAGCCTTTGACATTGTGTGAACTTGAGGTGGCCCTTGCAACAAAAAATGAATCTGCACCTGGACCTGACAATTAAATATGAAATGTTGCGGCTCTTGTCCCGTGAATCCCTAGGACATCTGTTGAATTTTTAAACATTTGTAGGGAGGTTCTGTTTTTCCTCAGTGCTGGAAATGTGCGCTTAATATAATTCCCTTGCTGAAACCCGGTAACGATTTTTCACTGCCTACGAGTTATCGTCCCATTGCGCTGACCAGGTGTCTGGGGAAAACGTACGAGAGGCTGACAAATAGGCGACTAGTGCACTTTTTGGAGGTTGGAAAAAATTTAGATACGAATCAATGTGGATTTAGAATGGGTCGCTCAACCCTAGATCATCTTGTTCTCCTGGAAACTTCCGTACGTGAAGCTTTTGTACATCGACAGCACTGTGTGTCGGTATTCTTCGACCTAGAAAAGGCTTACGACACTACTTGGCGTTATGGGATTCTCAAGGACTTGCAGATGTCTGGCATCCGTGGCCGAATGCTGCGTTGCATACAAGATTTTCTTACGAACCGAACTTTTCAGGTTAGGTTTGGCTCCACACTTTCTGATGTTTTTATTCAAGAAAACGGGGTTCCCCAAGGGGGTGTATTGAGCGTTACTCTGTTTGCAGTGAAGATAAAAAGCCTGGCTGCAGCGATACCACCATCTGTCTCCTATTCGTTATGTGTAGATGATGTGCCGATTTGCTTTTCTTCCTGCAACCTCTCGAGTTGCGAGCGCCAACTGCAGGCCTCTATAAATAAAATGAGTAAATGGGCCGATGAAAATGGGTTTAGATTTTCTCCTGAAAAGACAGTATGCGTGCCCTTTTCAATGCGGCGTGGCCTCTCACTTGACCCCAGTTTACAACTCAATAGTATATCTGTACCTGTAAAACAAGAGCACAAATTTTTAGGAGTTGTTTTTGACAAGAAACTTACGTTTTTGGCCCATATCAAGGGACTAAAGAAGAAGTGCCTGCAAGCGTCTAATATCCTCAAGGTACTTTCCCACATTTCTTGGGGGTCTGACAGGCGATGTCTCATCCGATTATACAATGCCCTGGTTCGTTCCCGTCTGGACTACGGTGCAATGGACCTTTTCCGAGAAGCGTTCTGCGCACGCGCGAGCGCCCGATGCCAAGCGGCGGAAGTCAGCACTAGAAATCAAGGAAATTCGGAAGGAGGCTGTGAATTAGCGAGTAGAACACGTAATTGCAACATATATATAATTATGTTACACAAAAAAAGAAAGCGGATGGAAAGAAAAACACGACGTTTGGGTGGACGCCACGGATTTAAAGTCGCGTTGGTCGCGCGACCAGTCAACGACTCGGTAGGGAAAAAGTACCTAGAATGGCGGCTGTACCTCTAATCGCTGTAGTCGTCAGCTGTGCAACCTGTTTTTGGTTTTGCGGTTTTGCGTGAACTGCGCGTCATGTTGTCAAACCACCCTACCTAAGGTATGCCAACAAACAACGTGGCCGTTGACTGTCGTAATTTTCACCGGCTTCGCTTCGATTAGAGCGGCTTGGATTAGAGAGTGCTCCCACCTGACGCGGGTTAGACACTTCACAACAGGCAGAGGTAGGTCGTTTTCACCGTCCCTCGGAAAAGCATCGGTACCATAACATTACCGCTTTATCACAGTGTCACCGTCGCAGGACGAGAGCCACTCCGACAACGTTCTCCGACCACGGCCGCTTGATTCACCGTCGGGCCCATCGAGGGGCCGCGCTCCGACATACAACTCCGGCTACGTGGCTCCTCGGGCGCTACGAACGACATCGTATGAGTAGGGTAGGTAGTAAGTTCCACTTCGTAATCACTCTTTATTTTGACCGGTGCTAACTTGAGGATCGTGCTCGAAAGACAGAGTCGTCGATACGGGCGTTGATTTTGTAGTACTTGTTTTCTTTTGGAACGACGGATGATAGGCGTCGGAAAACAGGGTCAGTGCACAGTGTGCTGAGCCATCTCACTGCACGAATGCATGTTAGCCCAGTGAGAATCCTTGATCGTGATACGTTTTATATGGGCACATTAAACAGCACTTTGGCATGGAATTGTTTAGATAAATTAATCTGGTGTTCGCCTTTCTGCGTTTTCTTTCTAGTGTGTAAGATATGTGACTCCTATGAACCCTAATCCAGAGAGTTACTAACGGGAACAATATAAAAGGGAGCAACTGATCTGGCTTGTTGCTACGTTTATGGCCCCCACAATCCTTATAAGTTCTCAACCTGTCAAATTGGACGTAGACTGGGAGGTAAACTTTGCACCTTGAAGTTTGAACCTTTGTTTGGACAACAGCTCGCTCAAAACTAGTAGGTAAGTAAAAAAAGCATACTAATCTGTTCACTTTCATATTGTTTACAATAGTACATATTTTCTTTTTTTTACATTTTAAATTGACAAAACATACTTGAAGCTGTCATAAGACTCATAACAAATTATTCTAACAATATCTATTGCATACATGTCTTTTGCAGTTCGGTATGTATGTCATTGCCCCAAAGGTGGAAGTTGTTCAAATGAGAAGGAAATGAGTAATTGTAGAGAAAAAGTGCGACGTGTCCGTTCCACCGGCAGCCGGTACTCTAGCCCAGGAAAGACATTTGCCGATGGTAACCCCCATGTCTGACTACATTCATGTCACAATAATATCGTCGTACCTTCTCGGATGCCGGATGCCGGCACCGAACCGACACATTCGCCGGCATACCCTCTCTTATGCGGATGATATTGTACCTGTTTCCACCTGTTTAATCGCGGCATTAAATGTTTGCTGAATTTCTAACAGCTTTGTTTATTTATTTGGTTATAATGTGTGCTTGAGAAAAATGACAGGCACCAACTGGCAGTATAAAAAGTTGAAAACGGACATGGTCAGAATTTTGTTTATGTTAAACAAGCATCTGCAAGAAAACTACAGCGGTCCATCTCATATCCGAGAGTAGGTGTAAGAATAAAAGGGCGGCAGATGCTAGGGCCATCTGTGTATTAGCGAGCGCACCCCTTGTGCGCATCTCCAGCGTTGTCAAGAAATAGGACGCTCAAAATCCCAGACGAGCGTTGATAGAAAATCAGTTATTGAATCGAGCCCCCATTCTACGTCTTCTTTTTCAAGCCCCTGTCTCGCAATGGTATAGCATTTCGGGCAAAATATATTGCAATATAGCAAAATATATCGCAATATAGCATTTCGGGCAAAATTATATTGCATATGTCTCATATATTTGCATCACTTGCGCGTGGAGCCTGGCCACGCTCTGGTTCATACAAATGACGGCCATTTTAACTAGTGCCAGCACACCCCCTTTAGACCGTGAAACTTGCAAATAATTCCAATGCGAATAGTTCCAGCCTGTTTAAAGAGCAGATTACAGCCAGAAATAAAAACCCATGTCCCCATGTATGTTTGGATACAGGTAGGTGAGTTCAGATTGCTGTAGGAACAACCTATATATAACAACTGAGAAGTTAGGAATAAGGAAAACAAATGGCTGTATAAACTAGTTCATATATGCACGCATTTCGTTTTTACAGAGCTGGACCAGGAGGATACCATTGGACTGTTAATGATGTCCGAGACTTGTGACGGGTTCAGGTCATGGGATCTAAGAACTGCTGAGATGCAGCTGCATATCTAATCCACAAGGTGACAAGGAGATGGAAGTTCAAGCAGTGAATCTGGAAGGACGACAGCTGTCTGCTAGTTCTTCACAAAACAGAAAACAATGTATTTATTACGCAATGCTTTCAGAGCCGTTTGTATTCATATCATGGATGGTCCTGATGTCCCTGTGATTCTAAAGCATTGAGAAGAAAGGCCACCATCTGAAAATGAAACTCATTGACAAGTTCTTTGCGGTATTTGTGAGAGTGACGCTACAAATGGTCTACTCCTTTTATGTGTGATAATGAGTAGGCTTCCCCACTCGCATCAAGCTTTACCGCCCGACACCTGTTTTCTTAGGTGAAATTGAGCTCTTGTGTGTAAAGCTTTATTGCTTTGCACCGGAATGTGTGCAGAAGCTGTGGAGCTTCAGTTAGCTCAATATTGCTCACTGTTATGGCTCTTTGGTTACGAGTTTTAGATATGGGGGACCCTTAAAGGGATGCTGAAGCGAAATTTGAATTTCCCAAAACACGCGGCAAAAGCGTGCAACGGGATGCTACAAACACCAAAACATCCCTCAATCGGCGATATCTTGAATGGATTACCGTATTTTTTAAAAAAAAGAGGCACATTTGGCAGGAATGTTGACGTCATGTTTCTCTGAGGAGAGGGAACGGCCTCGCGTCTTCTCCGCCTCGCGGCCTTGAGGGAGTGAAGCGAAGAGAGGAGGAACCACGGTATCTTGACGTCACGCGCCTCGTCGGCCTGGTTCAATCTCGACCTCTTTTTCTAAAAAATACGGCCGTCCATTCGAGATATCGCCTTGCGAGTAGTGTTGTAGGGATTGTAGCGTCCCGCCTACACCTCCTGCATTGTTTTTTTAAAATCCAATTTTCGGTTCACCATCCCTTTAATGTGAATTAATCGAACCACAATATCACTTTTACTGTGATCAGGAATTTCTCCCCGAGATGTTGCTGCCTGCCATTACTCTTTTAAAATATTTATACATTATAGTTTGGTCTACCCCCAACTGATAAGGAAGGGGAGACGTTTGTCATTTCAAGCCAGCATGAGTCTATTGGAATGGAAAGCTTGATAATAGAGAGTTCTATAGAACAGTTTCCACAATTTGGATTGATAGCCTGATCCAACCCCAGCCAGCCGCAAAATGAGGCCTTGTATTGGATTGAGTTTCAAAAATGGGTCTCTAAAACCCTCTAATGTCAAAGGCAAGCACCTGTGGCTGTTTGTAAAAATAGGGACAGCTATTCTTCCCTGTGGCACGACGCTGGTTAGTATATACTGTAAACGACTAAATTTTCGCGAATCGCCTTCAATTCGCTAAAAATATGTCCCACGTACAATTCGGGCAATATGTGAACGCTACGAAAGCTACACTCGATTCACGAAAATTAGAACCCGCAAATAATTTCAAATTTTCAGCTTTGGCCGGATTCGCGAAAATTTGAGCCCGCGGAAATTAAGTCGTTTACAGTATAGTTGCTCTGCTTTCTTTGCCATTCGAAAAGTTACAGGCCACATTGGGGTGGCAGTAATTAAATTCTGTTTTGGCAGCCCTCTTCCCATGGCTCTGAATGGCTTGGCTGCAGCACAAATATTTTGAAACACGTGCCAACAGGTGCAAGTTCCTCATAAAATAAATGAAAAGGCATGCAGGACCTCTCATATGAATACCTGCATGTGCTCCCAGTGAAAGTTTAGTGCACAGTCAATGTTTTCTAAATATTTCTATACACAAAGTTAAAGTTCAGGTGCCATTAGGCATTAAATGTTTATACATTTTGAGGTACACGTCTTCCAAATATGGAATTGAAACATACTCTCATTATAATTGTCATGCCAACCTAGCTTCATAAAATACCCTCGGTTCCAACCAACGTTGTACTGAGCAGATGTGAGCTGCTTTTATCTCTTTTGTATGGTCGTCAATTTATCTGCTGGCATATGCTTTGTCTTTGCGAGTGCTTCAGAAGGCACATTTCCTGAATTTGGCTTGTGTGCCATCTTGTGCAGGCATATTTAAAATCTGTGTAGTCTAAATGATTGTATAAATGTTATAAGAGCGTATTGCAACATTGCAACAAATTGTATTATTTGGCAGCTGATTGCAGGCTAATAGTACCAATAAAATAGAGCTTCGAAACATCTGCGATGTTTTCCTGTATCATCATAGACACACAATAGTTTTGTAAGTGCCAATTTTCAGGCAGACTTCTTAGACTGTAACACTATAGCACATGGCTTACTACGGCAAGCTTTGTCTAAACTCAGTTGGTGATAAAGGAAGTGGCAGGCCAACACCCATTTAGTATGGAAGGAGCATGTATCGACCATTTTTAGTACTCGGCAGAGGCAGTAACTGCAGCTACGACCTCCATCCTTCTTTCAGAAAGTTGCCAGTTGCCGACGTAGGAGAAAGTGGCCATAAAACTACGCTGAACTAGAAAGCGGACAATACGCTTCTTTTAATAACATATTAGTAATTTCTGTCACTGATACCCTGGTGAAATCCAATAGGTTATGTAAGGCTGCGCTAAGATAGGTTGTTGTGCGAACGTTTTTTGCAAATCTGACCAATCCGACCATGTTCAGAGTCGCAAGTGCTCATTCAGGAACCCTGATCCTCAATGAGCACTGCAGTTTAACTTACACAATATTTTCCGCAGACAAAAGTACCATTCCACCCTAGAGTTTTTGGTTGGAACTGTTAGCATGATACACTTTCTCTTGGTGGAATTGTTGTGTAGTCTGATACAAGGACCGACGACCTCAGGAAAACAAGGCATGCTCAATATGATGAGTTAGCCAGGCAGCAGCTCCTCACTGACAAACCCTCATCAAGGCTGACTGTTTCGATGTTTTATCTTTGCAAGAGTGGTGTGGTTTGTCCAAATACCAATGTCGCGCATCTTGCACCGACACATTGTCATCTGGTATTTATCCTGATAAGAGTGTGCATGGTGTGCATATCTCCATGAACCAGTACACTGAGAAGCTTATTTTCATGCGGGTGATAAACCAGTCTTTTTAAAGGATACTGTCGTGAAGGGCCGACGCATATTATCCTGAAGGGCCGACGAGCACGGAGCGCCTGCTGGTGGGAAGACCCTATCCCAGTGACCTTCTCTCCATTCCTTGTCGCACTCTTTTCTTCTTACCTGAAAGGAGGAAGTCTGGAAGCTGACCTCTGCCAAAAGGAGGAGGACTCTCCTCCTCTTTTGGATGAAAAGGAGAAGTTGAGGGGCGTTTTCCTCCTCTCTACCTGTTGGCCGGCCTAGTCCCTTCTTTGTTAAACCTTCTACACGACCCCGTCAGAGGACGTTGCAAGAAGGTTTTGGAGCTTGCGCGGGGAATTAGAAACAATGAAAAGTGGCCGCCAATGGGAAGCACGAGGAGGAGGTGATAGCACTGGACAGAAGTTTGCAACTAGACGTCACGGCTAAGTGGCATTGATGGCCATTACCATCATGCTTTGCGCGCCCCCTCCGGATAAGCAGTGAGCGTGCATATTTCAACATGCAGTCAATTTTGATATGTTTGCATTTTCAAAAATTTAAATAAATGGAGATGTTAGCCACTCGAAGGCATAACCGGCTACTCCATTACCATTGAAGAAAATATTAGAAATTAAACATTTCAAACATAGATGCAGTGCATCTCAGCACCCACACACCCCTCTTCCCCCATTCCCATTCTATTGTCTTGGTATCCCACAAGCTCAACATGCACAGCAACATCACCGTCTTTCTTTACAATTGGATAGTGGAACACTTCACTTGTTGCATCTCGCCCTCGACTCGAGATTCCCTTAAAGGCCGACCAACAAGCAGAGAGGAAGAAACTTTTTCTTGATTTCCTTTTTCTATCCAAAAAAGAAGGAGAGCCATCCTTTTTGCGGTGGAGGTTAGCTTCCAGACCTGCTCCTTTTGGATGAGGAGGGCAAAGCGCAAGAAAGAATGGGGGAAAGGACATTGGGAGAGGGTCTTTCTTGTTGCAGAAGATGCTTCGTGCGCGTCGGGCTTTGAATTAGTATGGTCATTACGCAGTCTTAGGTTGCCAGCCTGATGGTGACGGATGTTACATCTGCCCCATTTCCTCCATAAACCTGCATGCTACTGCACTATTTCTTTGTCCTCCTAGCTCTACAAAGATTGTTAATCATTGCTTGGCAGGAGGAGCTATTACTCCTTTGCTAGCTTCATGGGACGCACATTGGCACATGGTACCCAGGGAAGGCAGGATTTGGTGCTGCAATGGCCAGCCTTTGATGCAGCAATGTCAAAAGGCAATGAACCAGGAATATTCCCCAGTCTTAGAAACGTCTCTCCTTCCGATGGATAATAAATATACTCTCAGCAAGCAACTGAAAAGTGGTGTAGAATCGGCAAGCCTCTTTTGGCTGCAACAGCAGGGAAATAGGGGCCAGATAAGCAGTGATCATTTAGAATCGGAAAATGTTTATTGAATGAAAGACAGCACTGCTTGCTCTGAGCTTTTTACCATGAATCTGGAGTAGGTGAGTATATTTAATGAAAATTTCAACGCGGGCGAGAGCCTTATGAAGAGCTGCGAGGGTGAGAGCATCGGCTTGATGAAGGCCAGTTAGAGTTTCATATCTCCTTGCTGTGTACGTCTTTTTCCCTCGGGGCAACCCAGTCCTTGTTAATGTAAGGCAGAATGTGGTAAGTATTTTTTTTATCTGTATCTTGCACCTTAATAGGTATTGTTTAATCTCAGATACTTTTAATTTAGAAATAATTACATTGTCAAAAGTTGTATGGGGATACATATCCAAGTAAATAAAAAAATTAAAAAAACGTCCTACTTTAGGCAGAAATATATCCTTCAGAGTACCGGGCGGTTCAGATATCGGGTCGAGACCTAAATAAATCGCAAAACAATTGGATTTGTAAGCTACGACACTGACTTAATACATAAGTTTGGCTATGGTTTTATTTGTAAGAATATATAAACAGTGC